AGACACAGACTCATTGGTGCCAAAAGTATTTGGTATCTTAAAGAAGTTGGGAAAACTCTGCTTGGCACATAAAAGAGACGCCTGCAAACTTCATCCACGTTTTGTTGATTTATATTTTTGAATCATGGTGCAGGTATGATCCAGTGTGAAGGGTCCTTCCAATGCCTCAGGGATTTCTTACTTGTGGAATAAGGTGCAGGAGAGCGTCACCTGAGAGGGTTCCCACTGCCAGGCCCACGAACAGCTGCAAGATGAGCGTATAGGTCTCCTGACAGGAGTTGAAGAATAGCAGACAGATCCCAAACATGGATCCAACTGTGATGATCAGGACCGCAGCTGTGCTGTAGCCATATTCTACAGGAAGGAGGAAACTCTGTCTAGATTAAAGGTATAAAGTATTAAAAACACATTACAAAGTCAAACAATTTGAAAGAGGGAAAATGTTTTGCCTACATTTGACAAACAGTTTACACCGAGTTTTCACACCTGGTAACATTAACGCGGCGTATTCACTGACTGGAAGAGGAATCGATTTCTTGGTTTTCAACCAGCCAGTTATTGGTCAGGATTGATCAAACTAAAGATCAATCACCTGAAATTCATGGTGCATTCATTTAATTTGATCTGTGATCACAAATTAGAAATTAGACATTACCAACTATACTGAAAACAGAATAAATAAAAGGAGAAGCATGCTACACTGTTGAATCTTTCATTATTGTGAAGTTTTATTATTTTTCTTTAAACAACCTTCCGACTTAAAATCAGTCATTTAAAAGGATTGTGATGTTATGAAATGAACTGACTTACTCTCAATAGCAGTAGGTACCGACCCTCTTGAATTTTGCTGTAGTGACCCACAGGCATTGCCTAGCAGCTGCTGAATGATAGCAGGACAAATTTGTTGGAATTGCTCTTTGGAAATGGGTAAATGAGGGCCAAGAGCAAAAATATCCACCAACTGGTTGGCTGAGAAACACACCTAATTGGGTGAAAAAAGAGCAAAAGAGATCTAGTTGATTAAACCATTTGGAATCAGTTTTAAAGCGATTCTGCTCTTTTGTTTTTAAACCTCACCTGTGCCCAGTCTCCATCAGTGCTGTGGCTAAAGTTTTGTAGCAAATGTGAACTTTGTTTGATGACTGTCTTCTTATGTTTGTAAGAGTGCAATGCTTTCCCATCTCCTAACTGATGAAGCAGCTCTTCCAGGTCTAGGTAGAGATATGGTCAGAATGCAGCATTGGTTCAAATTTATTAAATGACGCCAAAGATTTATGAATAATCAGATAATTTATTTGTCTCTCATGGGAGAAATTTGTCTTAGAAGAGAGGACAGGAATGGGCAAAACAATTACGAATTGACGCATTAAACTGAAGAGATAAAATCTGGATCAACACCAAGCAATAGTGAAATAAAAATGGGTCACAATCAGTGAGAATTTGGCCCAGAAGACAATATCAATTTCAATGGAAATTGCAGAAGGTAAATGGAAGACAGGTCAAAACTGTTCATAATTCTTTTTTCTAAACACAATAGTTAACAAAAGCCTTTGAAACTTATGTTTTATGAGCCATATAACAAGTAAATTAATATATGCATTAAAGTTGAAGTCATAATGACTTTGAGCTATGACTACTTTGCACTGAAATGGTGTACTTTCTTTTAACCGAAAGCATTTGGTAAAAACTTGCAACATGATTGTGTTTTCTTTCACTTACCTGTGATTTTTAGGTTATTAGAGCAATTTAGCGACTGAAATATGTAATCTATGAAGTAGTCGGGGGATGGGAGGCTCCTCGGTGCAAAGCAGTGTCCTTGTAGGATGTGACTGATTATAGCTGCTGCTACTTTGGGAACTTCTGCCACTCTTGCACCAGGATTTTCATCTACATCCATCTCTTTGAGAAGATCAGCTGAGTGAATACACTGAAATCAAAGATAATTTTTTTTTATATAGACATTTGCACCCATTCTGATAACATACATCTTAAAAAACAAGTTTCCCTACTTGCAAATCACGCATGTTCTTGTTAGAGGGATTGTGGTGCTGGTTGATGAGCTGCAGAATGCTCTCTGTCTCGCTGTATGACAGGAACTGATTGTTTTCATTTGGATGCAGGCTAGTGAAATGCAGCAGAAAGAACTGTAAGTTCACAGATGAGGAAGGAAAGTCTGATGGAGGGCCGATGTTTGAAACACACAGATCCTTCAAGTTAATTATGTAATAGAGCAGGACAGTGGAGATCTTGTGGTAATCTTCTTCTGTCAGTTCAATCCTGTCATCGTCAAGCACTGAGAGGGCCACGTTTGGTGTCAGGCACTGCAAGGACAAATACAAGAAAGATGTAAATCAGACCATAAAGTTTTTATTTTTATTTATTTATTTATTTATTTATTTTTAAGTTTCTGAACTAGTCAGGCTGATAAGTGTGAGGACAACACTACTTTTGAAAAAAAAATACAAAACCTCAGTTGAACTTACCAGGAATGTCTAAATATTTGCAAAATAGGAAATGTAGGTGCTTTTAGTCCAAATCTGCAGAGGAATTTCCTTTATTGAATTCTAAATCTTGCTTTCAAGGCACAAAAGGCATATAATCCCATTGACAGCCCAACTGAGCAAACATGCACCACTTCTAAATCCATTTTATTAGGTCAAACCGAGCAAAGTTAAAACCACTCAGCATGAATGGCCAGAGGTCAAGTGCTCAAGCCTCTGCACTTGCATTCCAACCATTAACTAAAACAAAACAAATATGAACTAAGAGTGAAGACTAAGTATTTAAAATTCAGCACAAGTTAATCAAGTGAAAGGTTTTGATAAACTGACAATCTATTTGATTTTTGTTTTCATTGCAATGTGAAATTGGTGACAAATCTTTGAGTTAAGATAGTAGGGAGCACCGTCACAGCTAATTGAGAGTTTCTGTGCTTTATTAGAGTTTGAATACAAAAACAATCAGCGATTATAAGATCTGTTTGACAGAACAGAATGAGGGCAGGATTTACTGTGAATTAGCAAAAAGCCCAAAGCATCATGCAGAAGGAGAGGTTTTGACGAACTATTGTGCTGACTGATTGTGATGAAGCCAAATCTTTTGCAAGCGACCATTTGTTTATGAGAAAAGTTGCCAACTGTCATTTGATAAGGCAAATGAGACTTGGCAACAGTTATAAGAGTCACATTAGGCGATAAAAGCATTCAGAAATTTTTCAAAATTGCATTAATTGCCACAAAGGACTTCCAGAAAAATGTTTCCTGGAACAGAAAATGTCCCAAACCTAAATTTAATCAATACATTTCTCTGATGAAATGGCCTAAACAAAGTCCAGACCTAAATCCATTTGAGAGGCTGATAAAGGAAATATAATTTTTTTTCCTGGAATATGAAATGAAGACAGTACAGTCTGTTCTGTACTGTCAAGTGATTATCAAATATTGACAGAATCATAAAAAGAATATGGCTGGCCTTACTTTCTCACACATATCCTGTGTGATGCCTGTCCTCTCCGCACAGTGCACATCCTGGAGCAATTTAGTGATCAGTACACCAGTCCTGTTCTTCTGGAGCGTGGGTTTCTCATCACTCCCCAGAGATAGACCCAAAGTCCTAAGAGTCTCCTCCAGATACTGCTGGTCCTGTGCTTTACCTCCTGTGACTCTCCCCAGCTCACAAAAATGCAGCAGGAGCAGCAAACATGGAGCTGAGCTCCAAAAGCGCATGTTCCCAACAGCGTGGATAGCCTTCCTCAAGCCCTGAGGACAGGGAATAGGACTAACCAAGAAAGTGATGGATAAGAAACATAGATAAGAAAATCAAGAGAAGAAAAAGTCAGGTTGAGCGGATGGAAAACGAGATCTCAGCGGGCACCCTTGAGTTGAACCAATCCTTACAATGCTACGTAGTTAGTCAGTGAAAGCCTGGGCCCCTCAGCCCCAAACAAAAGGATTAGTGCAAGCAAGTGAAAGAGAACAGGGCACATAGAAGGGGGTAGAATAGGCTGGTTTGCTGTCGAGAAACTAATTAGTGTTTAAAGACAAATGAGGGTAGAAGGAACAAATCGCTGCGCAACAAATACACGATACAATGCTGCTCTATTGAAGTGATATGCAGACTTTGGGATGGGTTGATTCCTTACAATGTAACTTAAATCTCTCATCCTTTCTTCACTGTGCTTCATACTGGCACAGGTGAATACATTTCATGGATCTAAGGTGTTTCTCCCACTTTGGGAGCAGGCAAGAGCAAGCTTGAGTGAGCGTTTCTTATTTTTTCATGATCTCTGATTCATCAAAGATAAAAAATTCAGACCAAGATACAGAAGGCTCTCTATGATCCTCCTACGTGGGATACCCTGCAGGTCGAATCAGCACAGAAGCAAGAAGATTAAATTTTTTTAGCTAAAAAATGATCCTGAAAAACAACACTGACACCTGGCACATGAGACTACCAGACTGCTCTGCTCTTCACAGCTGCTGTATCCAGCTTTGTTTATCTCTGACAACACATTGTCTTTGTTGGATCAGCAGAAGGTTTATTTTGGGAGAATTTTTGAGTGTTGGGGTAACTGGTAAAACTATCTTGGAAGAAACCGAGTTGACTCAGTCTCTGAAGATTAGCTGTGAGAGCTTTAATGGCAACATTCAGATTGATAGTGAGTGTGAGATTATTGTAGTTGTGATTGAACTCCTAATTCTACATTTTATAGCCTGGCTCAGATCTGCTACTATCTTTCAAATAGTGTTTACAAAGCCGAATCAGATTTTACTTCTCCGATTTTGAAGCATTTTCCACTTTTAGGAAACCTTGAAAGCTAAAGGACCATCAATCTCTTTCCTCCTGTTTCACCTTATAAGGTATTTCACCTTCTACTCACTCTAATATCTGATAAAAAGATTAACATCCTTTGTACATTTGGAAACCAAGCTCTGAGAATGCTATTCAACTTCACATTGCTTCTAATATGGTTTTGTAGAAAAAAAGCAACAACAAAAAAGTCACTTTAATCATTTTTTATTCAGTTTCTATTTACAATAGCGTAAGAAATACTAGCAAATATTAACAAGCATCACATCTGAGGAGGATTTGTTGATCTTGATTATGAATATGTAAATATTCACAATGACACTGATTTGTCACCGATTTCTGTACACTATGTACCCAAAATTATTAGGATATTTGTCTTCATACATGCATAAATTTACCTTCAATCATTTAATTTTATTTATTTTTTATTTTCTACTTTTGCTTAATATGATCTCAAGAATTACAATCTTTATGAGTTATAGCTACAGTAGATGCTCTGGTTTTACACACTACTGACTAAACGATATTTTTCGGAGGGGTAATTCCATACTTTTGGCAATATAGTGTTTGCAAATGTACATATATGAACATAAACTCAATGGAGTTTGGTTTCTGACATCATGACCTTTCAAATAGTGTAATCAAAGTCGTTCGGCCAGTTTCCTCATAAACCGAAGGTAATAAAGATAATTTAGATCATTTGTTATTGTGCTGATTATTATTGGTGTCTCCTCATGCTTTTTCATTCTGCTCTATGTTGACCACCAGGCCTTTCATGTCCACAGGCACTTGATTTGGATTGTTGAAGTACAGCTTGTTGTCAAAAGTGCACTCGGCCAGGGTCGTCATGGGTAGCTGTATCCGTTTGCGAAACAGGAGAAAGGCAGCAAGTCCGACTATGGCTATGACAATCAGCACAATAGCCACTGTGATGCCAGCAGAGCCATGTGATGATGCTTCTTTAACAGTTTGAACTGCCAGAGAAACAGAATCATAAATTAGACACAGTGATCTATAATTAATTTTAATTATGCTATGGAATAAATTGCTTCATTTACTTACCTACAAACTGAGACTTTGGTGTAGTTGGGATGACTGTAAAAATATGCCAAGGTCTCAGTGTAAGTGTCCAATACAGATATAAATAACAGAGCAGCAGGTTAAACTCACCTTTAGGCCTTTTACAGATGTAAGACCTGTATCTGCTGCAGCTGTTTGTGCTCCACTCTCCACTGTCAGAATGGATGTTCACACATGAGTCGGACTTTGGCATTCCTTTTTTCCAGTTGGTATAGTCTACAACACTGTTATCGATCCACATCCACTCATCTAAAACAGACAAACAATGATCAAGCAAACAAATCTGCATGACCAGGAGATGGTTGAACTGCAACCTCCACAATGAGTTTTTAATAGTGTGCATGCTTAAACCAAATCTATACGTGGTGGTGTTTAAGAGAGTTAAAGCTCAGGCAGTGAAAATAAGACTGAAAAAGAACCAAAGCACTCTGAACTGGACTCTAAAATTGACATTAAGCCTAAAAAAAAGTAATCACCACAAAAATGCCACCATAATCATTTTCTCAAGAAAAGAGACAATTCATTTTTTTTAACATGACACCTTTATGTTTTGTATACACAATATTAATTTTTTTAAGTGAAAAAAAGTCTGAAATTAGCCTTATTATGCTCACTGTCATGGGACTTATATAGACCGATCCAGAAAGTTTTGGCTTCATCTTGCAGGTTTTCAATATTCTTCTGAATGAATTCTGCCTCAACAGGGTCCTGGATGCTCACTAGAGAAGCACCTAAAAAAAACCAAACACATGTTGCTGGAATTCATCCGTTGAGATAAACGAAGTGTGTGTAAAGTTTTCACAACTTACCTAATTTCATACATTCAACTGAGGCATGAGCCCAGTTGTTGACCACAGAGCCCAGAAAATAATAGCAGTGACCCCTGAAAGGCATCCAGGATCTGTCCTTCTTTGGTTCTGGGCAGTTGCCAGGAAGCTGTGGCGGTTCAGTCGGCGCCAAGTCTGGAAAAGAGGGAAAATCTGTGATTCTACAGTTTAGGCAGTGAACGGCTGTAAAGGTAACTAAGAGATTAGCTTACCCTGTGACCTTTTGCAGATTGAATAGTAAGTACTGGAGCATTCCGTTGTCTTCCATTTGTGATCAACATCTATATACACACAGCCATAGTTTTTTGGCTCATTCTTGCCCCATTTGGTGTAAGAGAGAAACCAGTTATCGACCCACTTAAAGCGACCTCCGGTCTGGAAAGAAAATAATTGACAATTAGCACAAAACTAAAAAGGTTTTATGTTTAAAATATAATTCTGGTGGAAATGTTTAAAAGCAAGTTTACCACATTGTTGTTGAGGCCGATCCAAACTGGCTCTTTGAATGTGGAAATCTGCAAGGTGATGAAAGCCTGGATCACAGGGTTCAGGACACTGGCCAGCTCTGAATCGTCAGCCTGGCATTGTCTCCGAGCCTCATCCCATCTCATCTTCTGGGTCACAAGTTTGTAGGAGTCATTGCCAATCTTGTGAAAGGACTTTGGTGAAACAGTGGTGGCTGGCACCACAATCTGGGAATCTGCACAAACAAGACATGTGAGATGGTGGTCTTTGCAGTTTTACTCTAGAAATCCTGGCATTGCATCTTTCTTTAACATGTTTTAAAAAAACAAAATGAAAGGTCATAATGAATTGCCTCTGGCAGTCAAGAACTTCAAGCAGTACTACTGCTGAAGAAATCGCACATTGCTGAAGTTGTGCTACTTTCAGTTTGTGCCATTGGGGTAAAGTAAACCAACACGATTTAAATGTCTTTTTTTCTGTGATTTTAACTTAGAGGCCTGTCTTTTCCTCACTTTGTGTTTAATAACAACAGAGGTTGAATTAAACCTTATTTGTTTATTTGTAGAAAATTACACAAAGATGGCGTGTGTGAACAGGCCCATAAGTAGAGTTACATTTTTTTGGTGAACTTAGAAAATGAAAAATTATTCAAATTCAATGTTTTCAGTAAATGTTTTGCTTTCTGGTTGAATTGGACATCAGATTGCATACACTCCAGCTGCATAGAAAGACAAAGCTGGAACAGTGTAGCCATACTTTCATATGTCATTAAAATGCAAAGGATATTAACAATAATGTGACTGGCACATAATTATATTCTATTTTATTTTTACTCACTCACCGACATTCTTTTTACAGACAAAGCCACGTTTTTCGCTGCAGTCTTCCACTTTCCACTGTCCTTTTATTTTGATGGTGCTGCCAACCATGATCACACAGTCAAACACCTCAACAAGAAGATAGAAAAGTTAAATGAGTTGCCTTTTTCTTTTCAAAATTTACAAGACCTGTTTTGGTTTAATATTTATTTATTTAATCCGATAAATGAGTAGTTCTGGCCACATTGTAAAGACAAAGCATAAAACACAATCTGTATTTGTAATGCAGCATTAATATTCATATCTGTATCGTATCTAGTATTTATATTGCAAACTGGGAGTGAAAATTAAGGACTTGTCAGTCAGATTAAGATAATTTTTGTGCCAGTTTAAAAATACTCTAGTAAGAAGTCTCAATTGTATGTACAGTATTTCCACATTAGCAAACAAAATTATCATGAAGAAAATCTATGGGAGCCTCAAAGAGCAGACACAAATTATTACAGACAGCAATGAAACAATAACTGGTTCACTAAATTACAAAAAAACTCCTATGAAAGAACAAAATGTAAAGTAAATACAGCTGCAAATGAATTGAAGTCTAACACGTCAATAAAGTTGCTAAAACCTCCTCCTGGAAGTGGTGTCCATCAGGTCTTGATGTGGGGTGTCCCTTGGCCCAGTTGGTGAATGAAATGGCTTTGCCATCTGTCCACACAAAATGCATTTCCCAATTGATGTCATTCATGCCAAGCCACAGATCCTCCTCTTGGCTCAGCATTTTTGTTGTTAGGAATGCTGAAAAGGAAAAGATGGAAGTTCTCAACTTGCGTGAAATGCTTGTGCAAAAACTCAAAAGACGGTTGAGTTATTATATTTGGGTCCTAAATAGCTATATTTGGGTCCTAAATCAGTCAAATTTGAACTTTAAATTCCAAATATAAACACAAGAGCAGAACCAAAATTGTGCCTACGTTTTAGACTTGCAGATAAACTTATGCAAGTTATATTGATTTGGTTTCTGAATCTTGAGCAAAGCAAATAGAATCTGTCTCTTCTGAGTGTTTCTGAGACAGTGTCGGTGCTGACCTTGCTCTTTCTCACTGGTGACAGACACAAGATTTCCTCCCTCTTTCTGGCAGTGGGTTCTGGCATCTTTCCAGTTCTTCTTATTCGCAAAGAATTTGTAGCACTGAGTTTACAAGACAAATTTCATTCACCAGCGTCACTTCCAATATCCTCAGAAATTGTAAACAGAATTCACTGGGAAACTACACTGACAAAATATGTGCCAAACATGTAATAATACCTTTCCTTTAAAGGTAAGCCACTCAGGTGCACATCCCCCTTTAGGAGGTGTAGTTGGTGCCATTGTTGTATTAATAAAACTGTCTTTTCTTTTGCAAATAGAAGCTAGCTCCAGACCACAGTTGATGTCATTCCAATAACCTACAAATACAGAATTTATAAAGCAAAGTGACAACAGTAAACATTCAAAGTTTATCTGAATCAGACTTACCCATGCTTGTGTACATTGTTACGCAGTTTTCATCATTATTTGCGAAGTTTGGCTCATTGTTTTCCCATGCAGTATATGTTACTGGTGTTCCATCTATCCAGCTGAAAACAGTAGATAAAATAGTAAATTATTTAATTTAAAAAGACTAAATTGAATTTACTGACAAATTCTGTAGTCAACTCAATTGCCCTAATTAGTTTATTTACTTGAAGGACTGATCCAAGTTCACAACCAAACCGATGTAGTATTGTGTGTGGCCTTGTGCTTCAGAGCCCCTTAATAACTGTGTAAACATAAACAAGAGAAACTTTAAATCAAAACTGCTGTTTATGACGTAAAAAACAAGTATTGTGGTAATTCTGACCTCCCTTATTTAGTAATAAAATGTAATTCTCACTTGTTTCCAGAGGAACTTCCTTTCACTTTCGGCTGTTATCACTGCAAGTTCACCAAAGTTCTTTTTACAGTAATCTCTTGCCGCTTCCATTGGTAATTTGTTTTTGTTTATGTAGTAATGACTGTCATTATATATGAGCCACCCATCTTCCGTGGTGTTGAATACTGGAAAGAGAACAAAGAGCTTTAAAAGCCAACAATCTTAGTTGGTGTCTTGAGATTGCTTCTTATTTTGTCTGACCCACAGTTTTCTCAGTTCACATAAATATGAGTGTTAGCTTGTCACAGTTTGGTAAGTATCCCAAGGGTAAGTCATGTTTGGATCTTTTATATAGAGCTGTGTTTTTGCTTTTTATTGCATTATCAATTTACTAAAACTGACATGTGAATCTTGGTTTCTATTTTCAACAAACCATGTGACTCATTCTTTAGGTTTTTACTTGTTCCTTTTTTTTTTTCCTAGTGAAAATGGTCATGATGTTGAAACCTACCTTCTACAATGAAGGCTGGATCGGGATTGGGAGTCACACCTGAAAATGCAATAGAATTGACAACAATTTTGTACACTTGAGGAATTGAATAGGGTGATACATTTGAAATGTTGACTCAGTACCACATATTTCAAACTAAAAATCACAATTTGAGCTCATTATCTGTACTTAGCGATCGTTTATTGAGGTGAAGTAGGTAAATTGTTCCTATCAAGAAACTGTTTACAATAAAACAGTAATAAAATGACTAATTTAAAGCTAAGTGTTGCCAGAATGTTGAAGCAAAGAACTTTGTGTAGACTTTGTTTCTCGTTGGAACATCAAGTTTTACCTTTGCGTATCTGGCAGATCCAATCATTGTAGACGTCACAGTTGCGATCGTTCCAGTGATGTCCATAGTAAAACTGAGCTTCTGCACAGTGTTCATTGTCATTGTAGTTGTTTGGTTCTCCAAGACCCCAGTTCTCAAAACTGAACTGGATTACAGTTTTCAGGAGAAAAAGAATGATTAAAGTTAAAACAATCAGCCACAACTGTTTTATTATTATTATTGCCGTAAATGCTGCATGTCTTACTGGTGATCCATCACTCCAGACAAAACCTTGATTGGGACCCATTAGTCTCAGGCCTATCCAGACTGGGGAAGAACTGTAAATGCTACAAGAAACAGAAAACTTATTTGTGGAGGAACTTTGGAACTGCCAAATATAGGAAGCTCCAACAAGGATGTCAGTGCATGTTAACATACTTCAAATTGTCTAAGTCCCTCCTACTCAGTATGCTGATCAGGTCTCCGCCAATGGCTTTGCAGAAGTCCTGCGCTTCCTGCCAAGTCTTTTTGTTCTCCTTCATTTTCTTGTAAACCTTTCAAATAAAAAAGAAAATGTATTTATTTTGACAAGTGTCATCACATTATTAAAAAAGCAAAAAATTTGCAATTTCCTCCTAACTTTATGGCAGATGTTCCTTTCAGCAACAGGCTTCCAACCAGCGGCACAGGTCAGTTGTGGGGTGGTCGGTTGGACGGTTGTCGCAAGCACACCCTCGGCCTTCTTTTTGCAAATATACTTCTCTTTGTTGCTGCAGCTGATAACATCCCACAAACCAGCAAAAGTACCAGTTGTCATGGCAACACACCCCTGTTTTCTGTCTTTTTTTTTCCAGAAAGAAAAAAGTGCAAACCCATCTTAGTTCTATTAATTTAGAAACAACAAATGTAAATTAGATTCACAAGCAGAATGATAGTGAAGATGTATACATTTACCAATAATTCTCAAAAAGTCTGCTTGTTTATGCTCAGATTCTTTCATTTGTTTAGTAAAAACTAAAATCCGAGGTCAACTAAGCAAATCTATAGTTTAAAAACTTATTATCGAGGTAAGTTTATTTTACACTTTTCACATGCAACATACAATAATTCAAAACACCCCAATGCAAGAAACATATACATCAATTTAACTATTAAGATAGACAGTTAAATAGATGAAGAATATGGACTTTACCTGGCATGCCAACATTGAAATGAGTAAAGGTAACTTTTCTTCTTGTCGTCCACTTGAAAATATTCCTGTCTTCTGTGTTGGACAACCCGGTCCAAAAATATTTTTCTGGTCTCAGTCCCACCAAACTGACGAGAAAAGCATTCTCATATCTGTTTTGAAAAAGCAAGAGTGGATGAGTATTTCAGCACAAAGCTCTATGAATAGTATCTGAACAAAACTTTTAGTAATATTTTTATAATTTCATGAAACTTAAGGTCATTTAACTGCAAGATTAATAATGGGTCCTACCTGTCAACAATGTCTACAAGGTTTGAACCCCCTTTTGAGCATGCCTGCATTGCCTCTTCAAATGTTTTTGTTTCATGTCCAATCTCATAGCAAAAGGAACCAAATCTAGTGGTGCCCTACAAAACCAAAGTACTTAATGCATTGAATCGTATCACTTCTATGTTTTCTTATCTTTCAGCCACATTACTCACAAGCTTGCATCCTGGGTTGACTTCCTCTTGGGTACCTCCAGTTGGTTTTGTGGAAGCTTTCTTCTTACAAATATATCCATATGTCTTCTCACACATGCGATCTGCCCACTTTCCATCCTTCATGAGAAATGTGGAAACAATTATAGCATATCCATTAACTGCAGTTTTTGCAACAGGAGAGTTATAGATGTTACCTTTCCTCGGATCAAGACACAGTCCTCCTGGTGGTTGACGGCATGAGATGGTTCATCACTTTGCCAGTTGGTGAAGGTCACATGAGAGCGATCAGACCATTCAAACAACATCGGGTTCCTCTGATCATTCAACCCAATCCAGAGCACATCCGTCTGTACTGAGGCGAAAAACACAGAAATAGAAGGGAATGGAAGACTTTTGTTTGTTTGTTTTGTTTAGTTACTAAAATAATTCATCTGTCGTTGTTTGTCAAAGATGTATTTGTTTTAAACTTTTAATTTGCTTAATATAGATATCAGCATGTTTTGGTGAATAGTCTATTTATCTCTATGTTTTACTAACTTATAAACATCTGGAAGTGACACTTGTAAAGCCCCTCAGACAAGATGTCTCCATAGATATATTTGTACAGATATCTTTTGCTGTTTCACAGTTGAAAGAAATTATATTTGTTTTATGGGCATTTTTACCTTTCCAAATAACCGTCGTACCATTTTTTGGGAAAATGAATACACAAAAAGCAAATGCTGAAAACTAGAATTTTACTATTTCAACTGAAGATTAAGAGATTTTATTGCAACTAATAAAAACATTGTGTAACAACATTAAAAATAAAAAAAGTTGTACCCCTTAGGAGTGTTTGCCATTTTTGAGTCACAGTAAAATGATGACTTACTGTCTCAGAAGAAAGTCTATTTTAGCATCCCACCACCAAACAATGAATTCATGTTGTAGATATTTGTGCAGTGTACCACCAAATTCTGGTTGCTTTAGAACTACTTTAGACTTCTTGTAATGTAAATCACCACTTACAATATCCTAACTGTGTTATAATGAAGCTCTGCTCTTCTATGTTGCTTATGCTGGCCAAATCTGCTTCTTCTTTGTGACATGCTGCCAAAGCGTCCCTCCACGTCTTTTTACTCCTCTCCAGGTAATAACATTGTCCTCCATACGGCACCCAATGACTCGGGCAGAAGCTGGGCCCTTTATCTAGAAGTTAAGGACAAACAGAAGTAAGAACACATGCATATACAGATGCATTGCCCTAAAAGGGATCATCTGGAAGTATGTCCTCTAAACAATTTACCTGGTGGTGGAGGCAGACTGGTAGAGTTTCCTTTACGGCAAATATAGCCAAGTTTTTTGCTGCAAGCATTGCTCTCCCATTTTGATGCTGTTCTTGTATTTAGAGTTGCGCAGCTGTCCCCAGGGACTGAAGATGGATGACCTGAAGGATTCACTGTTAGTTACAACCAATTTGATATATAAATGTTGTAGAATCAAGTTCTGTAGCTAACCTGGGGCCCAGTTCAGATATCTGAATGGGTTTCCATTGCTCCACTGCCATCCACTCTCGAAGTCCAAGCTGTTTAGTCCAATCCACAGAGATGTCCCCAAATGATTTGTTAATCCTTTAATCAACACATAAATCAGAGGGTGATTGATTTTCAGCTGAATCATACTGTAGGTAGTTGACCTAATATTTGTTTTATACCTGAAATGTATGACTGTTCATGCAGCTCTACGATGCTGAGGAGATCTGCTCCCTGCTGCTGGCAGCTCATCCTGGCCTGGTGCCACGTCAGAGTTGCCTGCGTATTCCTCTGATACTGAACCCCGGTGACCGGGTCAGTGTCCCAACCAAAAGATCCTGGATTGTAAGAAATACGCAAGTCAACAAGGAAAATAACAGGTACTATTCATAATTTTCAAGGTACTTTTTCACAAACTGATTAATTACCCAGAAGGGAGAAATTATGTTTTTAAGATCTAGGAGAGTAAGAGTAGCTTCAGGAAGAACCTGGGAAGTTTCAGTGACCGGAAAGTTCATGTATTCCAAGCAAGACCCTGATAAATCCCAGGAAAGTATGAAAAGTTATAATTCACTTCATAATCAAGCCAAATCAGGGAAAGTAATTTAGAAATACAATGTGTCATGGTTTTCTGGAATGACTGAAGGGCATCGAGCCAACAGCATTGAGTAGTAAAGATTTCAATGGAAGTATTAACAGAGTATTATCAGAGCTGAGTCTAATAAAAATATGAGCAAAATGACAGAAAACAAAGAATAACTAAGAATGAACACAAACATAAAAATGATCAAAAATACAAACCCAGGAGAAACTTTATGATAAAAGAGGGGGGGGGGAGGGGGGGGAGGGGTGGTGGTGGGGGGAAATCAGACATACCTTTATTTGGACAAAACCCAAACTTCCTTTGTGTGTCGTAATCCTTCTCAGTAGCACACCACAGCTGCCCGTCTGTACGTCCATCCGTTGTGCATTCAGCGTACCATTTCGAATTGTACTTGAATGGAAACTGACAGGGGGCTCCAAATGCATTGCCTCCTATGGTAATGGTCTCTGAAGTTGTAAAGATTAGATATGGGTAGAGTCATTGTCCTTATGGTGTCAACATAGGCAAACAGAAAAAATATTGCTTTAAAAACCATCCCTTTAAATCTCCAAATATAATATTTTATTTCTACGTAATAAAGCAAAATGCAATAGAAGGGGTAAATTAGGACCCTGACATATTCTCTGCTGGCAACTAGAGGTAAAAATACACTGCTCAAAAAAATAAAGGGAACACTCAAATAACACATCCTAGATCTGAATGAATGAAATAAATATTTAAATAATTTCCACCTGTTGTCTATTCCATTTGCACAACAGCAGGTGATATTGATTGTCAATCAGTGTTGCTTTCTAAGTGGACAGTTTGATTTCACAGAAGTTTCCCTTTATTTTTTTGAGCAGTATATTTTCTCATGGGAATTTAAAGAAAATTCATTCAAAGGCTCACATTCAAAAGTTATTCAACCGTATTACTTTAAGGTTAAAACAGTATTTCCAAAAATAATGTCTGTCAAAGGAAAAAAATTAAAATTTATAGACCATAGAACTCTTTTAATGCATTTAACCTAACTGACTACTTTGCTGAAATCAGATTTTACTTAAAGAAATGTGAAATTCAGAGGGCACGCACAGTGGGCTGAGCATACCCAGTCAGTTATTTGATGAGCTGCGTTTCAAGTTGTTTGCCTTTTACTAACGCTAGTGTTTGATTTTTATTTATTTATTTATTTTTAATGTAATGAGCCTGTGCAACTCTCACTTACATGGAAATTATTATATGGGGAACCATCTGAGTCATCTCCAAGCTTTCCAGGAAGCTAGATAAATTAATTTATTGTAGACCCAAAACTCCTACCTTGAAACCCCTTTGAGCAAAGATCCCCCAGAGTGCCAAATATCCTCCAGCGACTCCAAGTCCCTGAGCCTTTGTAGATTATTACATTCTTCTCGTTGAAGTTGCCCCAATTAAGGTGCAGATCTTGGTCTTTTAAACCAAAGAGGGTCTCATTCTTACATTGCCAATGCTGCAGAATGCTACTCTCGTCACACTCAAAAAGAAGCACCTTTACCCTGTCTTTAATTTCCGTGGCTCCAAGACACAGCTTAAGGGAGAGACTTAGAAGGCGAAACTCTGAGACCCAGCGAAACTGCTGCTCTGTGGCACGGGGATTGCACTGTGCCAGTGTTACTGAGCTGGCGCTTTCTACCTTTATGCACTTGTGGTGATCCTGGTTGAAGATCAGAAAAATACCGCTGTCTGCAAAATAACAGAACCACACAAATATATTGACGAATTTCACCCAAACTTATTGAATCAACAAATGTGTCCATGGTACTCACCAATGTCAGCTTTGATGTGAAGGGCTTGCAGGAGACAAAGAGTCAGAGCAAATGTTGACAAAGGTGACATCCTCAAAGTCTGGTTTAGACTCAGAAGGCTTCCCAGTCATGAGAATGGGAGTCTGTTGAGTCTGTTGCTCAACAAAGAGCAGCAATGACAGAACCATGGTGTCTCTGTCCCCTTAATCACAGTGATGGACATCCTGTCACGTGGTAACATGGTTGGTCAGATGTCTGCAGTTTCCCTGGAATTTCAAAGAGTTTTGTGGAAAAAGAGAAGAGGAAGTAGGCTTTCACTACTATACAAAAAAAAAATACCCATAGAAGAACAACACCTGAAACAAATGTTGTCCTTTAGGTTTCACAAGTTATTAAAAAATCTTTAATGTGCATCTAATGAGTCTGAAAAGATTTATCTAATCTGACTCGCACCTAATTGTTGTTTTTTAGGAACGACTAATTTAAGTTTGCATTGCTTGGCCAGTCTAATTTTTGACGGAATCCCCTCAAATCAGGCTTTATTTTATTGATTACAGAGATGATTCTAGTTGTAGATAGATAGTTATGCAGGAAGGAAATCCTGCTTCCTGTTTGGGGAAGTAGCAGCGATTATCCCAATCTGGTCTGCAAGACTGTCCAGGAATGTTGCAACAGTGATATAGACACAGGTAAATTAGCTACATGTCTGTTGAAAGAGATGATTAGGGAGCCTATGTGTGTTAAATCACTGGATATCACTATCCTGTGGTAACACATGTTGTAATGTGATTCACCTAAAGTCTTGTATCTTCATATGCGGCAATAGGAAAACATGTCGTTTTTATGTATTTACTTCATTTGCAACTTCAAAAGTGGAAAACAATCACTTCAGAGAAGATTTTCTTCCAGGTGTGACCAAACAAGAATCGACAACATAGCTAAAAATGTAACTAAACAGGTAGAAGTATTAGACAAAGACATCTTGCTATGTGAGGCTAAGAAGACGAAATTGCTATTTTATCATCATTGGTATCCACAAATTTATATATAAAATAGCGCAGAATTTTATTTAAAGTATTTCTGTATGTCTATGTTTCACTTATGTTTATTTCTCACATGAACCAATTTACGATTACTGCTCAGTTATGTATATTAGAGATGTTGGAGAAACATCATGTAGCAAAAACTGCTACATGATGAACCACAACACACTTTGCAGGTGTATTGTAGCCATGCCCTCTGTTGCTCATCTGTGTGGTGGGAATGTTACCAGGAAGAATGGCAGGAAACCTCTTCTCTCGGGTCGCACTTGGGAAAAAATGGTATGAAGTCCAATGTAAAAGGTTTGAGTGAGGGACAAAAACAGGCAGTACAAAGGGAAAATCTATGCTCTACATAAATTACACAAAAAAAGTTAAAATTTCCAGAGTTTCTTTAATAATCTTACCAAAATAAATATATCTATATTACAAACTCACACAGATGTTTTATGGATATTTTAAAAAAAATCTCATGTAAACAACTCTGTTTTATTATATGACACATATTCACAACAAATTATGATGGTTTAAAACACATAGCTTACAGTCATAGTCATACAACCATTTTTGCAAAAGGAGTAGAAAGGGGTACAAACAGTATATTTGCACATGGAGTTATTGCAGCAGTTATTTGACACTTGATGTGTCTGCATTGCCTGAGAGCTCCCATTTGGCCTGTGAAAAGTGCTATTTGATTTTTTTCAGCAAAACATTTTTGATTAATCAAATGCAAACTGTTTGGTTCCACCAGCTGTTCTGACATTTGAGCACAAATATTTTCACTTTTCTAAAACTATTATCTCAAGAAAATTAATGTGTTATTTTTCAACTAATGGGGAAATCACTTTTTTTAGGGAGCAAAACTACATGCTTTTTCAACACTTTGCAATTGAAAATTGTGTTTCAAATTCTTGCAAATTTTTCCTTACATAACTTTATTAAAAACAGAGCTGTTCACGGTTAAATTTGATTAGTTTCCCTTGTAAAGATATCCAAAGGGGCTCTAAAGAAGTTAATCTCTAACTGCAGTGGCAAAATATCAGTGTTTTTTTTTTAGTTTTTTTTTAAAGAAATCCAACCTATCATTTGAGTAACTTATCTACTTCCCTTCTTGTACAGTTTCTGGATCGCCCAGAGTTCTGGTTGCTCTATCATGATGTCTTCTCTTCAGCTCAGTTGGTGGCAGTTTCTGATATGAGCAACATTGGCAACTGCCCAGGGTGGCACCTCATCAGGGGAAGAATCAGACCACCTGATACGAGTAACATTTTTTGTTTTAAAACTACTAAAGAACAACATCCCATCTGTTTTCTTTCATTGCCCCTTTATCTTGCCTTTCCCTTTTCAAAAAGTGTTCATCAAATTAGTCACCTATATTGTCATTTTTAAAGGGAAGAGGTAGTGAACCAATTTCTAGTCACTCAGATCAAGTTAGCAAAATAAAGCAAAAAAAGTTTAATTTTCTAAAAATAATTCAGTCTAGATTATGCTACTAAAATAACATACAAATGTACTTTAAAGCTTTATACAAATCTGTACCAGGGCTGATAAGAAGTGTGGAGCCTTATAGTTGCTACATTGTCTCCAGTGTCACAGATTTCATTCAGCTAAACTGAACTTTTGCCTCCCTAATGAATCTTATTATTTAAAAGATCATTCAATTTAGTCCTTTTAGTAATTTATTGATATTTCACTGCTATGTAGTGGCTAAGTTAGAAAACTCTATGATATATATGGTGTATTTGCATCCAATTGTGATTTGCCTTGAATACCATTGATAAATATGAATTATAAACTGGTGGAACCCCTTTCTGAATGCCATCAGGATGCATTTCCTGACAGTGTTCTGTCTTTCCATTCATGGTCTCAAAAAAACATTCTCTCTGTGTTAAATACTCTCAGCTTGGTCATGAAGTTAAAGTAGACAAATGCCAGACAGACTAACAGATTCTTCATCAGATAGAGTACGGGCGTGACAAACCCGAAGAGGGCTATGAGGCCAACACGCACGAAGAAGAAAGGTAAGTCCTGCAGAGCGACTCCTAGAGAGGAAAGGAGTGGGGTGTTGGGCATGATCACCACACGTAAGCAGGACACATAGCTGAAGATGTAGATGGGAAAGACCCAGCCGGAGTAGTAGACCAATGGATGTCCTGCCACCCTCACCATCTCTACCGTATCCATCCAAAACATAAAGCTATCAACAAACACATCTGCTCGGGCATCACTGACGGACAGAAACCTCAGAGGGCCCGTGTAGGTGTATGGAGACAAATGATAAGCTGGTCCACTCATTGATGGTGAACTCAGTTCAGGAGAAGAGATGATAAATGGCCGGCCAGGCGTCCCATTTATTCCAGGTATGGCACCATTGGTTTCTGGACGTGTCCCTCCCCCATTGTGGTTCCTGTCACTTATCTGACTTGTTCCAGGCTGAAGAGGATTTGGCATACCTTGCCTGTGCATTGATGGCTGCAATACAGCCGGGCCAGGCACAGCTGGTCCTGAAACGGCAGCTCCTGACACAGCTGGAGTGATGGGGGATACTGGTGTTATTGGTTCCACATGAGTTAAGACAGTGGAGGGGATTTCAGCATCTCTTCCCATTTCATTATCTGCAACAAAAAAAGGCTAAATGAGAAAAATGTGTTGAAAAAGAATTCAACCTAAAGTCATACAAATGAAAAAAAAAAAAAAACACATGCAGTCATCTCACTTACAAAGACATGAAGGCTCTATTCACATCACTGAGTGAAATAACTATTTGATCATACATGACTTAAAACTTCACAGAAGTATCTTTTGCAAAGCTAGACTTTTTTCCTTGTTGGTCACAACTAAGTACACATTTCAGAACTCTACTTCTCTGTACCTTTAATACTTCTCTGAATTCTAAGGTTACTGCTTGGAAACGACAGCTTTTTAGGTCCTAGAAAAGATTTTCCAGAGTGAGTCTTAATTGATAGTCGCTGGTTACCCATCTTCAATTTTCTCAATGAAGGAGGAAATATGCATAAATATGCATGGTAGTCATATTTGAACTTTTCATGGCCAGTAGCGTGTTTGTTCTGGATCTTGAAAGTTCCATAAAATTAAAGCTTGTTCATATTTCAAGTGAGCAATCTCACAAAATCATGACGTTCCCTGGAAACAATCTGTCAAAGAGCCTCTCGATTAGCAACATCGCAAGACCATTTGATGACATCCCCATCAAAGGCCTGCGCTACCTTTCTCAGTCCATAGACTTACTCAACAGAACCAATCAGATCTGTTGAGATGTTCAAATAATAACTTCCTTCACTGTACTTTGTCCTGATAGGATTATAAGGGATGCTGGGGCCAATCTCCAGCTGTCAATGAGTAAGAGGCAACATACACCAAGGACAGGTCAGTAATCTATCACTGTATTCCATTCTGAAAAATCATCTAATATCAATAGGAGTTACCTCTAAATGGGCACATGACTGGGTATTAAAGGAGCTGGTTTTGCTCTCACCCTGTCCGGTCAATCTGCAGTGTCGGATCCTCTCCACAACATCAATGCAGATTAAGGAGAAGAAGACCAAAGACACGGGGATCTCCGTAAATGTATCATGTTTCATATTGTTGTTTATCTGAACCTGGACAAACAATGAGATGACAATAATGAGTTAGGGTTAGGATTGGTAATTGAGTTACAAATGACCCAAACCTTTTCATTTTAAGTCAGCAAGAATGACCTTGATGTGCTGCATTATATCTCTTGCACCTATGGTATTTGCTTGAGTCAGTAGTTCACATTGATGGAACACAGAACAAAGTTGACAAAGATGGCCATCTTAGCAGAATTTATGGCATTTTTGGAAAAGACACCGGATAAGAAAAAGGCCATAGGGTCAGTTCAGACTTTTGAGAAAACTTCACAAAACGGCAAATCAGGCCTGGACTGTAGCCAACAAGGAAGTGAGAATAGGCCTCATGGACAGATGATTTGACAGCACAGACAGGAAGAGGAACCAAGCTGCTTATCAGTCGTTTCTTAACCGTTAAGTTAGAAATGATTCCCCTGAGAACAAGGGGATTCTTGCTAATGGTCACCTTTGCTCCAAATGCCTCCAAACCTAAACAGATGTATCAAACAGTTCTCCGCGTGTTTTTACCTCAGAACTGGCAATGAGAAAGGCAAAGCACGGTAACGTGGACAGGATTACATATACCAGGGCCACAGGCCTCCTGAAGTGAGGACAACAAAAGATAAGAGAGCAGGACAGAGGCAGTTACAGGAGTTGCTAACTCATGGTATTTACATGAACTTAAAACCAGTCACTGGCCTGTTTTGTCTCACACCAACCAGTCTTGTTCCAGTCTGGGCTGCACTATGATCCAAGTTGATGACTACAAACAGTAAGAACATTGGAAACTTACCATTTCTTCCTCCCAACAAGAAACTTCTTTTTTATAAACACCAAGTACTTCATGGGTACCCACACCAGCAGGGCGGTGGAGGTGACATAGGCGATTGAGGAGGCCACAATCAGCCAGTAAGCTGTGCTGGTGTCGCTGGGGGGCTGTGCAGAAGCTTTGACCTTTGCCACAATGATGGCAAATCTCTGCATCACGATGAAGAGTGGCACACACAGGCCAGCAAACTGCAGCACCTCGCAGAGAGCAAACTTCAGTGTGCTCCCTGATCCCATCCTGTGGCAGATCGCAAAAAGAGAAGGAAAGGAGGGAGACGGTGGGGGGCTGTTGCCGCAGTGAGGCGACCCCTGCCCCTCTGAGGGCTGGTCAGGCCTCGGACTGTGGCATTGTCTGCCTCAACTAGCATTTTCCATACACCACAGCCTGAGCTCTCTGCTCAACCAACTGCTTACACTGCAGTAGGTATTGTGAATCACCAGAGTGATGCGACTGGCATTTAGTCAGTTTTTATATAGAAAACAAAGTTAATCAATTTCTGCACCTTGAAGGTTGGAGTTGTAATGCACCTAAAGGTAAAGATTTCATATACTTATAAACTATAGTAGACATCAGTGGATTTGAGATCTTTAATACAAGATTCCCAATTCAACAATAGCAAAAACAAATTGGCTCTCTTCACTGATGCACTGCCATCTAGTGGGAAAATCATATTAATGGTGAGCCATTAACACCTAACATGATCTGATGAACACGTTTTTTCTAATTAAAAATGATTTAAGTCTGTCACCAGAAGTGACATAGTGTGTTTTAATAAAAGCGTTTTCTTGTCATTCGAGGGAAACGAGAATATGTTGCTGAATGTACAACTTAGAGTTGACAACAGGGTTTCCCAAGTCCAGTCCTGTTTATCCTGCAACCTTTAGATGCATCCCTGCGTCAACTCACCAAAATTAAATGACTCTCCTCAAAGCTCTGCAGAGGCTTTGTAACAAAACATTCATACAAATTATATCTTGATTTGGAGACAGCTGCCTTCCAAACAGTAACAACCTCTTAGTCGTGACTTAGTGACTCGGGATTATTATTTTGCCTCAGGATATCAGGAGTCTTAGTAGACTTCATGTCTGCATGTTTCAGTTTTTACCTACTTCCACCTTTGAATGCGGTTTTTGTCATTTTTAAAAAAAAATTATATATACCTTCCATTGAATCCAGTATCTTTATTTAGGATTATGTTGTTAGCTGAAGGGGAAATTGCTGAATAAGTGAAACCTCCACTATTTATTTTCCTGACTCACCTTAAAATGTGCAAAAATGCCAATGCAAGTGTAATACTGAGTGTCAAGTCATGTATGTACAGTGCCATGAGCATCCTCCTCATGACACTGTTACACAAGAACATAGTGTTTTCAGTCAGAAGCTTCTTTAGTTCTCCGTTACACAGACTGCTACAGAAGATCATTCCTACCCACAGCCATCAGGATCTACAACGTTTGAAGACACTTTGATCGTCTGAGTTGAAGCATTTATTTCCCCTGTGGAATTAATAAAGTATAAAGAAAGACCCAAATGAACCCTCATGCTGTCGGAATCTGATTTTAATTACGCGTCCAGGGGCCCACCAGCAGGCCACGCACTTGCCCCATAGAGAGAGAGAGAGAGACAGAGAGGGGGGTCTCTGTGGGTGGCTAGATGGATGGACGACCCCACTGCTCCCCACCCCAGCTGTCAGCTCCCTTCCTGACTTCCCCACCCTGCCCCCGGTGCCATGGCGTCCAGCGAGGAGGACGGCACGGTGGAGGAGAAGGAAAACAACAACAAGAAGAGAACGAAAAGCGCCCTCATAACCGCATGGCTCACTTTCTACAACATCGCCATGACAGCCGGGTATGTCCCTTTATTCCACCCCCCTCTCTTCCTCCTGCTACCTATTAATAAGAAAGCCGGATAAGTTTGCCGCTCCCTAAAAAACTGTAAGCGTGTGTTGCTGTTTATAGGACTGAGCCTGTGTGTGTCAGCCTGAAAGTGCCTGTTCAGCTCGAAGGATTTAGCAGCTGCTTGGCTGCTGGAGTTGGTAGAAAAATATTTTATGGCGGCTGGTTCTGAGAGTAAATGACGAGGTTACAGAAAAGCCAGACGGGAGGTTTCAGAGAGAGAGAGAGGGGACAGAAAATGAATGAACAGTGGCGGGTTTAAAGTGACAGGCTGGTGTTGGAGCTGTGTCCAAATAGGGCTGACTGCATGCGGTCAGCGTCAAGGCCCACTGTGAGTCCCACGGTCGCAGTGATAAGTATAGCTGGACTGAGCTGCTGGTGACACTGGAACCCAGTCTGGGACGGGAAAGTGCTCAATGAGCAGATTTTTAAAAAACAACACAATATCTGTCAGGCTAAAGTAGGCTATGGTGTGTTTATAATATCAAAGCATAAAAGCAAATTACAATTGGTTAACTGGTTATGGAACAAAATAGTCCCTCACTTAGATGGTCCTGAAGTGTTTTTTTTTTCTTCCATTCAAAAGCTGTATATAGTGTATGTACAACCACAAACTTAAGTTCTATGTGGGTTCTATGGGCTCTCCAGCAATTTCACTGCAATGAGTAGGTCTGCAAAATATATCATCACAAATAGCAGAAACAGTAATTGTATTTTTACTGTACAGCATGCATATCACAAGCATACAACCACCTGGACTGCATTTAAATTTGCCGATGATGTACTTAGTGACACTCTACTGAGAAACTACAAATTATTTCACTGCCAAAACTGCAAAGGTTGGTTAGAAGCTTTTTGTTCAATTAAAAACCTGTTGTTAAAATAGAAATATATGATTCTATTTTTCCCAGAAGCTGGGTACTACTCCAATATTGAGTATATATTTGCCTAATTTTGGGCAAATATATAGCCATAATTTTGGGTAGGGTAATTTTTAATTCATAACACTACTTAAAGAGTATCATAAACACTTTTGAATTGTGTTTATTTATTGTGAGTGCATTGCATCATATAAATATATCACATTTTGTATGTTTATAGAATATATATATTACACTTGATTTATAGGCCCCACCCACTATCTTTTACGAAGGAAAATAAAAGTGTTCATATAGGTCAGACTTGTCTATGAGCCTCAGGTGTCCACATCATAACCTGAGATATTTATAGATTTTTAATGAAATACGTGATGGTAACTTCAATATATACCGCTGCAAACCCCTTTTTCTGAACGGTGCCTATGACACTGCTGTCCAAAAAAGAATGCAATACCGTAGCCTAAAAAGTCTTTGATTGTATTTTCCTCCTGCACACTAAAATCACAAAAGGGACCTTCTTCAAGGTCTGAATTGAACAGCTTCAAACACTCTTCCTCAGTTTCTCTTTTGCTGTCACTCAGATCATCTGGTTCTAGACTGCTTTTCATCCTCAGAATCAGAACCAAACATGGAGAAACAGTATTCTGTTTTTATGTTTTACTAATCTGGATCAAACTTCCAGAAAACTGCAAATATGCTGAAAAACAGAATTTCTTTAATTCAATGATAAAATCCCACCGTTTTTTTAGAATTGCATTTGATGAATAATTGGAATGTTATAAGGTGGAGTCAATTTTTCAACCTGCCATCATCTTCCCTTAATTTTCCAATGCAATGTAATGTGTTTTGGCTAGTTTCTTGCTTTATTTTTCTTCTAATTATGCACTCTCTGAATTGTGTTGTTGCTTTAGATGTGCTATACAAGTAAAATCGCCTTGCTTTAAAATTTTATATCTAATTTTGAATTCTGCAACAAAGGAAAACATCAGGCTTATGCAAGACTATGGAAACAGTCTGAATGAACCCAGCATGTTTTTGGAAAACCAAGAAATAATCACTGTAGTTTGAAGCTTAATAACTAAAACAGACTAAGAATAGGATCAAAAACTCTCATTCCATCAACAAGCTTGTTAAGAGAAAACTGTATTGAGGGCTGTGGAGAATCTTGCAGACAAATTTAATTCCAATGTATCTTTGTCTTTGTAATAAATTCCTTGATTGAGTTTGTATTTATGTGATAAGACAGCCACTCCTTTCCATTATTCCCCGATCAGCAGGACGTCTGTAAATGGGAAACATTTTATTAACTCACATTTTAAGCTGAATTTGACTCAACTGTATCACAGTTACAATTGAATTGGAATGTCTATTTATTTTTATTGAATTTGCCTCTATGTTTGGAATGTTTTGATTAAGTAAATCTGGAAACTGTAATATTTACTGAACAGCATGTCTATAAAGACAGTCTCTGATTTACATTAAGTTTTTGTTATGCAACACATTGTGATATATATCCTCCAATGCTAACTCATTTCAGAAGCTGCTGGTTGGGATCTCGTTCTTTATTCCAAATGTGTAAAAATGCCATCTGCCCTTAACAGATTGTTGTCTCTGAGGAGCACCATGGCTTTGTCTGGACAGGATTTATAGATTTGGGCTTGTTTTTTCTCCAGGTGGCTGGTTCTGGCAATCACAATGATGCGCTTCTACATTCAGAAAGGCACACATAAGGGTCTCTACAGAAGTATAGCAAGGACACTGAAATTTTTCCAGACCTTTGCATTAGTTGAGGTAAGTGTTTGTAATATAAAAAAAGTTTTATTTAATAAGTGAAAGACATTGTTAACTCCAATTGCTACCGTCTTTGTCATCCAGGTGGGGCATTGTGCCGTTGGTATGTGAGGATTGACTTCATATGTTTATTTATTTCTTCCTATTTCATACACTTTAGTATGTTCCCAGGTTGTGAATGTCTTTCCTTTGCCTCTGCTTCAGGAATTGTGAGGACTTCTGTGATTGTAACTGGGGTTCAAGTGTGTTCAAGGATTTACATGGTTTGGTTCATCACCAGTAGCATCAGACAGGTAAATATTCATTCCAATCAAACGATACATAAAATTTACTTTTCAGATCTTTGGGTTAGTGTCTCATCTTATCTAGCATACAGTCATAGCTGAACGTTGAACAGTGGCAGAAAAGCAATGTTTTTGTTGCTATGATTAAAAAAAATATTTATTGCAATGACACGTATGCAAAGAAGCAATACTTAGTACCTTTTCGAAACCTCTGCTGTTCACTTTGGCCGGTTCATAGCCTTTTCCCAATGACGTGTTGCTTTTAAATTTTCTTTGAGGAAGAAATTAAAATAGTGCTGAAATTGTAGTATAATACTAAAAAGAAACATTTTGCCTCTTATGGATTAATTGAAAACTTATATGTATACAGTTTATGTTCATCATTCTT